TTGATATTTGTAAAGATTTTCTTTTCATTACACACAACATTACAACTGGGAGACACAGGAAAAAGATATTTTCATTGCTTTATTARAATCAGACAAATATACACAATTATATTTTATAATAACAGCATTTAACATGGAGAAAGACTCCGTTAGAATTGTAGAGGGGGAAGATGTTGCATCTTATAAAAAAGAAGATTCAAAGTACAACTTTCAAGTAGGGAAATCAGCGCTTAAGTCTAGTAAAGTAATGGAACCCGAAGCTCCAGAAGAAAGGATATCGATTGAGGAAACGGCAAAAGTCACAACTGTGTTTGAAGTACTTGATGAAGATCTCTTAAGCAGTGAATCCGAATCAACAACATCATCGCGAGATGTTCRAGAAAGTGAAGAATCATCTGAAGATTTTTTTGAAAAATTAGGCACCATACCAGATATAGCTGCAATTGCAGTTGGAGAAACACAGACGGGCAAAGATATTGGCTCTTTTGTTGATCCCCTGACCGGTATGTTGTATGAAAGTACCGAGGAGGAGGAAGAGGGCGATGAAGAAGGAATGGTTGAGGATGAATCATCCACCACAGAAGATGAAGATATATCTGAAGATGAAGAATTATTGGAATTGCTAAAACGAGATGAAGAAATTGAAGCGCCAAAGGTAATTGACGAAGCAGAGGTTTTCGAAACATTTATGGAAATGGAGAAAAAGCAAGTCATTGAAGAAATAACGGAGTTCGACTGGATTGCATACGAGCGTGAAAAGGAATTAAAAAGCATAGCTGCGGACACAGTTATATTTCTTAAAGAACTAATCGCAGAGGTGGTTGAAAAGTCTGAATACGTCGATCCAAATATTTTCCTGCGACAACATTTGAACAAAGCCTCCCTTATTGAGGAGATAACCAAAAAAATGAAGCTGCTTGAGGTGGAACAGAAGGCGCGTAGCTTTCTTAATCGGCGCGTTGCCGAATTTTTCTATCGTAAAGGGCAATATCGTGTTTTTACCGATGATCCACCAGAAACCATACTCGACGAAATGAACAAACTAAAAGATGCCACAAATAAATTGGATCAAATGCTTTGCCGTGAGGAGGATCTTAAAAGTTCGACACAACAAGARATTGCTAACATTCAGCAGGATGTGTCCGCATTGCATATAAAAAATCAAGAAAAACTGCAGGAGTTCGAAGAACTTGTGAAAAAATCTTTTGCTAAAAAGGGTGAGCACTTAACATTGGTAAGATCGAGCAATTTTTACCGTTATGGCAACATTTCTATAACATCTTTTTGTGTTTGTATACTAGGAAGTCGATAAGGATTTGCGAAAGATGGCTAAGTTACGTGAAGAAATCTCAGATGCGCGGTATATTTTAGTTCAGAAACAACACTCAAATGCCACATTATCGGAGGTAAGTACCAAGCTTTATTACAAAGTTMTTATTATTATATGGGATAAAGTTTRAATAGTTTGGAAAGCATATTCGAATATTTTTTCAAATTTTGTATTTACTAGTTATCTCTTACGTTTTATCTCAGCTATATAAAGGTTCATACATTGTTTTTTTTTTTTACGTTTGTGGTCGAAGAAATATAATGACCTGAGATTTTCCCAAATATTGTGATTTGTATGAGCGCTTTATTTTACTTTTTCCTGGTTCCGGCTAAATTATATACTTTCAAATGTCACTTCGAACCCACTTATTTCATAGAGGAACAACAGCTGATAGCCGAAGTGTTTAATACTCAGAATAATTGTTTAATATTCAGATTGCTAGAAGGATCTTTAAAACGACTGTTTTGTTCTTCTGGTCGAAGGTACCAGAAACTCTTCTCAATTCAGCCTTGTATGATGCTTGCTTATTTGCCTATATGTCGCACCGTCTCAACGGATGCTATGCARATTCTCTTAGATGCACCSCTCTGGACCTGATKGTCGTACAGGTTAAGAAGCTTGAAGAAGGTTTGAGTGTRTCATTACTGCGGAACTGCTGGATTTCCSATGATGATGTGTAGAGGGAGGCATATCTAGGAAACATTAGGCTTCTAGATGATAGAGTTAGGTGTAGGTGGCAAGACCGTTGGGATAATAGTCATAACGGCCCAGTGACTTATCATACATACATACTTACATCCGGAATTTTTTTTTTTTTTTTTTTGCTTTTTTTTTTTTTTTTTTTTTTTTTTTTTTTTTTTTTTTTTTTTTTTTTTTTTTTTTTTTTTTGTGTTCAGGATAACTCGACTTAAGGTTTTATCTTAGTCTGGGTTTCCTGCTTACGGGACATTGGCATCTGAGTGCATTTTTGGAATCTGGGTGGTACGGAGATTAGATGTTAAGATGTTATCGGTGTGCTCTTCACTAGTCGAAATGCCAAAYAGTTAGGATTGAGTTTTTTAAGCGGCGAATTCATTTTACTGGGAGAGTTAGTTTTGTATGAGTTATGTGTTTATAGGGTCCAACCCTTGCCCACCAGTCCAGAGCTGTATAGAAACGCAACAATTAATAGTTTCGGCTACGAGGTTTGACCGGAGACTAATTCAGGAAGCAGGAGCCCAGAGGTTTTAAATGAGCCACGAACCCTACCAAGGTGGTTGGTGTCCTTTTGAGCATCAGGGGGCCTATTCTGTAACTCGATTSGAAACAAAATTTACTCGAATTCGGATTTTTTATATTCCGTAACTCGATTTCGGACTTTCAAGCCAATTTTCGAATAAAATATTCGTTAGCTTTTGAGTTGTAGAAAGCGAAAACGGAAATTGTATGTTTATTCAAATTTAGAAAAAGGCTTGCAATGGCTTTAAAAATTATAGATCATCTTTAAATTTACAATTTGTTTTTTTTTTTTCAATTTAATATTCTGCAGCAATTGAAGAAACTGGAGAATCTTGGCAATAATTTCCAGATGCGCGAATTTGAATCCTTGCAAAATGAATGTCAAGCCTTGGATAAGAAAATTGAGGGTAAGTAAATTTTCCCTATTYAATTCCTTTTCTAAACTTTCAGTTTCATTAACATCGATTTACATTTGCCACCGTAGAGCGCAATGCTGAATTAGTTCGGTCACGTGTGCGCTGCAATGCCGACTTGCACGTCTTGGGTCATTTGAAGGAGAAGCAAGCTATGATTCGTAGCAARATCAAAATTCAAAAAACATGTCTAGCAATGTTACAGTCACAAAAATATACGGCGCGCAAATGTATTTTCGATTCGAAGAAGCAACGCTCCGAAATGCGTAAAGAAATCAAAGAACTGAGCTACCAATGCGGCTTACTCGATAAACCGGCTCTAATGCTGGATTTTGACAATACAGTAGAACAGATCAATATTGTCATGGACAAAGTGGATAAACTACGTAATAAACACGATGAAATTCTTCATAAAATAGTAAAACTCGAAGCCAAATGCTTGTAAGCTCGTAAAACTGTGCATATTGCACCGGCCTTAGTGTAATCAATAAATGATTGCGCAATCATTTTCAATAGAATAACGATTTTTTTATTTGCAATGTACAAACGATGGCATAGRAATGCTGTAAGTATAAATGTTTCTTAAACCACACGATAAGTTCGAAGGATTTCAGGTGAAAATAGAAGTTTGGGTTCCYAGTTGCTGTTTGGTTTCCCTTGGCTGTATTTGTATTGTATATATTTTTATGTGATTATTCTATGTGTTTTGATAACAACTTGCGCCACTTCAGGGCAATTTTTGTTCTGTCGCGTATATAGTAGTATATGTACTCGTTGTTGATGCCATTCCATAGGCGAGTCACGGTTCTAGAGTATTCAGTTGTATTTGCAGCAGGAATAACGGGATGTTAAACTTATTCCAGTGTGAGAGCGCCTCAAAATTAGCGTTTTTTATGACATTTTCCATTATGGCCAGATCAGAAAAAAAGCTATTTTTGGGCATTTTAAATAAAACACCCAATTCGCATTTTCCACACCACCTATGAGGTATACAAAAGGGCGCGTTACCGAAGTTATTTTTGGGTGCTCGGTTCCTCAGTAGGCCTGTATCACCCATTAAAAATTTATTTATACAATAAAATTAAAAAAACAAAACGATAACAATTCATACTGTATAAAAAATTAACAAAAACAATATCACTCCATATCACAGCATAATAATAAAGTATAATACTTAAAACAATAAAAA